TGGAGTGCCGTGGATGAGCCGCCGTGGTAGGCATCCACGGCATCTGCATCCACGGCATTGGTAAGATTGGGCCCAGGGACCTTTGAATTCCGAGGCGAGATCGCTAACCATTAGGCCACGCAACCATTAATTGTTTGTCACGTTGCCATGGCGACGTTACCGTGCGGCGCCGATGCCTCAAGCTTGCGGCAAGCTTGCGGCGTTCGCATCCTGCCGCATCAATGCCGCATCGCGCCGTACCGCAACGACCGCAAACGTACCGGATGAAAAACGCACTCGTGTGGGGCGGCCCGAATGTTGAGCGGACATCGCCACGGTGAAGCCGTAACTGATCATATCCGACAATCTTGAAGACAAAAAGACATAGAAAGACGTGAAAAAACGACATATAGCTCTCAACCTATATTTCTGACAATGGGGAGATCATTCCTTTCACCCAAGGGCAGGTACTGCTAGCAGACAGATCACTGACCGATCCAGGAGTGGGCATTTGGGGTGAATATACCCCCGCAGCGCCCGAAATGGACGTAAATTTACCGTTTTTATTTGTGGAATAAAAAGAAAACCAGGCATATCAGGAAAAATTACATTGCATAAGCAACCAAGATCCAGTTTTTATTTTTTGGGGTCGAATTTATAGAAGCTTTTGCATTCCCCGTAGCTAGGGAGGAAAGAGATGAGAAACCCTCTATGAGAAAGATTGCTAGCTGCGGTTATTTGTAGCCTTAACCCTATTCCTGGCGGGGGGGGGGCCTCAGGAGCCCCCCCCTGAGGTTTTTTGGTTATTTCTCCCAAACGCGTTGAGCTAGGAAGCTCACATTTTCTGACTTTTCCTAAAAGGCTTCTACGCAACATGTCTGAAAATTTTGAGTTGATCTGACCTCAGGTCAGGTCACCAGAGGCGGTTTGGTGACCCTACCTCAGAAAAGTTTGCAATCACGCCAGAGCTAGAGTTTTTGACCGATCAATTTCTTCTCTTCAGGCTTTAGTTAGGGTACCAGTATGTGCAATTTGTATATCTCGGAATTTTGATATCGGTGACTTAAGGTCAGGTCAGTTTCGCGACCTCCCCATTATAAGTCAATGGGGGAAAAATCAACTCCCTGTTTTTACCACTAAAACGGGTCGGAATGGCCCCATATACCATACATGACTTCATATACGATCAACCTTCACTACCTTGAGGTCTGTTTTGCTGTTGGGCAGCTGTGAGGTCATGTGACGTCATCAAAGGTCACCAAAGGTTTTTGGCCAATAACTCCGTACAGGAACAAGATACAGACGCGTGGATGGTCTCATTGTGTTCAGCTCGTCAAGACGCATCGAATGATATACATGATGACCTCGAGGTCACGTGACCTGAGGTCAACCTTTGACCTTGACCTTGCGAGGTCAACATATATATCATTCGATGCGGATTGACGAGAGGATCACGATGATGCCCTTAGTTTGTTCCTATCTTGACTAATTCGAAAGTTATTCGAGAAAAACTCTCCATATCTAGCGCCGCCATTTTGACTTTTTCGACCCCTGTGACGTCATCTTTGACCTGACATGAAAATGACCTTAGTAAAAACTGTAGATCTTGACCGTGCGTATCCGATGCCGTTTACCGTTTGTCGCTATCTTGCTTCGTTCTCGAGATCTCAGGGGGGGGGGCCGAATCGGCCCCCCCCCCGCCAGTTTCTTGTCCCGGCGGAGCCCGCCAGGAATAGGGTTAAGTCGCCCACGACTTTCACAAGCCACGCGAATAAGATTATGTCCGTTGATGTGGAAAATAACCACTTGGAGACGCATCGAAACAATCGAAAAAGTCAGTATAAACTTTGACATGGTGTAGATATGAGCTGGCTGTAAAAGGTCATGCTTGCTGCACATGTAAGTCGATTCATATTGTTTAGCTGAGAAAACCTAATGTAATTTCATCGGTCTAGTGTAGGTATCCATCAAAAAGTGTGATCAAATAACGGCTGGTGACCTTTCATCACCTAGCATGACCCTTTGAGTGACCACTGATGACATGACCACTGACAGCCATTAGCTGCACCCTTCAGGTGGTGATGTCATGATTCTGAAATATCTTGCAGTTTTGGCGTGCTTCTCAGAGCAGAAGACATTCCCACTTTTCCTCCGTGGCTATATGACTGTGAGGCCATGAATGAAGCGGACCAGACATAAGATCGCAAATTTGAAAATACGAAGCATCAAGCATAAGAATAGTTGGCACTGCTATACTCATGCCTAAGCAAATCCGCAACTTATAGGAAACCAGCTTTAGGGTTGGCAAGATTGCAACTTTTGATGTAGAGGCAAGGATGCTTAACTACGTGATCTTAGGTGTCCTAGGATAAGTTTGGAAACGGGATGGACCATTCGATGCGTTTTGGGTGGCATCCGCCCCCCCCCCCCACAGTGATGCAAATGGGGTTCACGAGTGGCCATAAATACCCAAAAGTCAAGTTTACCAAATCGAGTTAATTGCGATATGGCCGAGTAGACAAATGTTTGGGGCATCTGAAATCACATGGTTTTCATGTTTTCGTCAAAACCGGCCTCGTGTATAATCGTCAGAAGTCGTGACATTTTCTAGGTCGTAAAATGACTGTCAGACACTCGCAAGTTCAAACGCCGCTGGTTTGCGTTCATTTCGTACAAATTGAAAAAAAAATATGCATGAGAATGATCCCCAAAGCCTTCTGCTTCTAATGCCGGGTCACGAAAAGCCGTATCTCATTCGCTTTGGCGGTAATCTGACTATCATCATGTTGCAATCGCAGTTTTTTACTAAGAAAAAAAAATGCTTTCGTTTCACCTACAGCATTTAACACAGTGTGTGCCCGTTAGTCCACCATACCATAGCCTTCCCTAATCATTTCTGAGTCGCATCGTGAAAGAGTTTAGGCGCTAGCACAGGGCTGACCGGCGCTACAGAGGTTTTTGTCCGGGCGGTCGGGTGCCGCAGTGGGCGCGCAGTGGGCGGGTGGGTGCCGCCGCGCGGCGTCCGGGCGGCGCGGCGGCGCGGCCGCCCGGGCCGCCCGCTGCGCCGCGGCACCCGAACGTGCCGGACGAAAACTTCTGTAGCGCCGGTCAGCCCTGTGCTAGCGCCTTAATTCTTTCACGATGCGACTCAGAAATGATTAGGGAATGCTATGATATGGTGCATTAATGGGCACACACTGTGTGAAGTGCTGTAGGTGAATTGAAAGCAAATATTTTTGGTAAAAAACTGCGGTTGCAACATGATTACAAATAGTTAGCTCACCGCCCAACCAAAATAGATACGGCTTTTTATGACGTGGCATTAGAAGCAGCAGGTTTCGGGGATCATTTTCATGTATAATTTTTGCAGTTTGTATGACATGAACGCACGCTAGCGGCACTTGAATTTCAAGTACCTGACAGTCATTTTACGACAGCGAAAATGTCTCGACTTCTGACAATCCTACACGAGGCCGGTTTTGACAAAAACATTAAAATCATACTTTTTCAGACACCCCAAACATTTGCCTGACTGACCATATTACGATTTATTCGATCAAGTGAACTTGAATTTTGGGCCTTTTTCGTATTTATGGCCACTCGTGAACCCCATTTGCATCACTGTGCCCCCCTTCCACTGGGCGTAGTACCTGCAACCCTTCCACTGTGCGTGTTAAATAAAATCGCCCGATCCAAGCTCAATGGCGTTCCTCCAGAGCGATTGGCGCCCTGCCGAAGCAACAGTGACCTCATTCAAGCTCAACTGGCACCCCTCTAGGCACCCTGTGCCCTTCTGAAGATCACAGTCAGATGTACAGAAAGATACTCCAAGCGGCGCCGCGCTACGCGCTGCGGTTTTTTATTCACACGCAAAAAAAAAACGCGACAGGGTGGTAACAGATGCCCCCCCCCCCACTGGGGCGAAGGTTAAATGGAGCGTTTTTCACCTTTTTCTGGGTGATGATCATGAGGAGCGACGAGCGTCTGCACAGGGGCCCTCTGCAGTACGTCGGCAATCGCAGCCACTGTAATTACGGAGCGAGCGAAGCGAGCGTAGTCTTTCCTTAGATTAACGGAAATTTCTGAGTATGAGCGGCCGGCCGGCCGGCCGGCCGGCCGGCCGTGGTCACGCTTTTGCGAGGCTTATATCTCAGCAACCACTTGACCGATTTACACGCGGTAATTTTTGTAGGGTAGCTTCATTCCTTCTACCAAGTATTGGACTATTCCCGATGCATGTGGGTGACCCCTTATGCACGTGCCACGTGCAAAACGAAGAGGTGTCAGTTTTGTAATTGTTGCAATATCTCGGTAACTACTTGGCCGATTGCGCTGAAAGTTGGCATGTAGGTAGACACCCACTAGGCACTGCATATACATGTGCCAGAATTGGGGTGCTGCTGCACGTGCGCACGTGCAGGGGTCGTTTCCAGATCTCGGGAACGGCTGGACCGATTGTGCTCAAATTTGGTACACGGTTAGGGACCGTTTAGTAGAGTGCCGTGCACAAGTCAGTTGGGACCCATTTTGCACGTGCGCACGTGCAGGGTGCCGCTTCCAGATCTCGAGAACGGCTGGGCCGATTGTGCCCAAATTTGGCACATCGCTAGAGACCAGTTAGTAGGGTGCCGTGCACAAGTCAGTTGGAGGTACCCCCTCGCAATTTCGCACGTGCAAGGCCCACCCTCTCGCTCGCTCCGTTAGTCGCCCCAAAAGGCGTTATACTGGTTCTACTGGTCGTTTTTGCCTAGAAATTTCAAAATTTCAAAAATAAATATAAAAAATACATGTCATAGCTATAAGGAAAACTTTGTCATCATCGGATTCCTCGCACCATTGCGGGTCGAATGATATTTAAAACGAGTGAGTAACGTCTGGGGAAAGGCAAGATTTAACACAAAAGTTGAATTTGCCTGCCCCCCCCCCCAACCGAAAATCTCTGGCGACGTCTATGGCCCCCTCTTTGTGCCTTTGTCTCAACATATTTTTGTTTTGCTTAACCTGGTTGTGTTCTCCGCCAGGTATCAGTGGCTCGGTCCAATGTCCCCACTGCGACTTCAGATGTCTTGGACAGCAACATCTAGATAGACACGTGAAGAGATGTCACAAGTGCATCGATAGGAACGGCAGATTCAAGTGCGAGAGGTGTCACTACTCGACCGACGAATCGGAGAATATGAATCGCCACCGTAAGACCCATACGGGAGAGCGGCCGCACCGCTGTGATATCTGTGACAAGACGTTTGCTCAGCGATGTCATCTGACTATTCACAACCGTATACACACTGGCCAGAGGCCGTACAAGTGTGACGTCTGTGGGAAATCATTCAGGCGGTCCTGTGACCTGTCGAGACATGTAACTGTACACACCGGTGAGAAGCCCTATCAGTGTGAAAAACGTGACGCTACATTTTCCCACCTGTCAAGTTGTGAGTCTCATATGAAGGTTCAAAAAAGTGTAAAGGAATACGGATGTCATGAGTGCCCGCCACGATTCACTCGACCATCAAACCTTCAAGACCACGTAAAGACCCACACGGGGGAACGGCCGTTCGGCTGCTCCACCTGCCCGGAACGATTCACTGAACGGTCCGCCCTCAAAATACATATGCAAACCCACGCGGGGCAGCGGCTATTCGGGTGCCCGCTCTGCACGGCACGGTTCACTTTCCGCTGCAACCTTACCAGACACATGCGAACTCACACTGGGGAGCGGCCGTACAGCTGCTCTCTCTGTACGGCTCGGTTTATTCAACAGTCGCACCTCGACATCCACATGCAGACCCACTCTGGGGAGCGGCTGCACAGCTGCTCTCTCTGTACGGCACGGTTCGTTCAACGGTCACACATCATCAGGCATATGCGTACCCACACGGGGGAGCGGCCACATTGCTGCTCCATCTGCTCGGCACGGTTCACTCAACTGTCACATCTCACCGCACATATGCGGACCCACACTGGGGAGCGGCCGTTCGGTTGTCCCAACTGCACTGCACGGTTCACTCAACGGTCACACCTCACCACACACATTCGGACCCACACTAAGGAGCGGCCGTACGGCTGCTCCCTTTGCACGGCACGGTTTACTCGAGGGTCACACCTCAACATACACATGCGTACGCACACTGGGGAGCGGCCGTACGGCTGCTCCATCTGCCAAGCACGGTTCGCTGACCGATCAACTCTCATCAGTCACCTGGGTAATCATACGGAGGAGCTGCGCAGTAATGCTGAATAGCAGACCGTCTCCTTTCGGCTCACCTCGTACATGTTAACGCACAGGGGTAGTTGGCCATGTCGCTGTTCTTTCTTCCGATGCATGGTACGGAACTGTGAAGGTTGTTACTTGTTGCGGCTCGATAGTACACATGCAGAGCTATGGATGTGTGCAGCGTGATAAGTTCTTGTTTTCTCTGTCGATTCGACTAGCCTCGTTTTTATGTCGAACAAGTTTATAGCTGACCGCTGTTTTATGTTTGTCTTTAGGATGATCAATGTCATAGGTATGGTGCTCATTTGCGCAACATCGATAGTTGCTTGTTTGTGCAGAAGATTTGAACGCATCTTCAAATCAACTATGTATATATTGCTACTGCCCGTGTTGGGTGGTTTGTTTTCGATCAATTTTCTGTTTTAATATGAATTATGGGCGTAGATATTCAACTTTCAACATTGCAGTATTCAATAATAGAAATGCGGAAACGTGTGTTTGCGTGTGTTAAGTTGGTATCTAGCCGCTCAGTGTTTTATGAGCTGGAAATAATCCCATTCACCGAAATGATGGCTCTAGATGTCTAGACTACGCTTGCTTTGTTCTCACTATTTCTTTGTTCACGTCTGGCTGTGGCATGTGCTCGAGTATAGGATCGTGTTGAGAATATCCATTAGAGTAGAACATTCCAAAAAACTGAGATAAAGGTCATAGGTCAAGGTTATTTAGAAGGAAAATATTCGGATTCAAATTTTGAGTTTGACCTCTCAAGGTCAAAAGGTATGATCTAAAAAAGAAAGGTGATCATTTTCGAAGTCAACATGTCGAGGGTAATCTGTACGCGTAGGCTACAAGGTCTAAGGGTACGCAGTATTTTGACCTCTCAAAGTACAACGGTTTGACCTAGGAAAAGGTCATCATTTTCGAGCTCAGCGTGCCATCGGCTATTTGTATACCGATTTTGAGCGAAATCACTATTTGAAGTTTATGAACATTACCTGTTGAATGAATTTTCACCACTGAAGTACTGAAGTCTATAATGATTTTCACTATGAAATTGTTAATTGTTCCACGAAGAGTATTTTCTCGACATTCATGGCGCAAATATGGTGCATTGCCACGTGAGTCGCTCAGTCGCTCACCACCTTGCGCTCACCATTGCGGTCAAGGCCCTATATACTATTAGTGTTTTTATATACCTTGATACTATTGCACCTATTGCAATTCAAATTCAATTGGGGGTGCGGATCAGGTGCGGATCAGGAGGTCTTGCCCTTGGTTTATATAGCCTTGGGTCTTGCCTTGGTGGTGGCACGGTCATAGAATTAGGGGACATGCCTAAGAGCTGGACTTTTTGCACGCGTTCCCCGCCAGGGGGCGCCACTGAGGAAGCACCCTCTGACGTCACGATAAAACTGCGCGCACTGTGCGCACGGTTCTGTAAGCAAGTAATATAGTGGTGGTTTCATGGTGGAAATGGGAATAAGTATTTTGACGTTGTCAAATTTCAAGCCGTTTTTGTGAAATTAATTAGCAAATGCATTTCAAAAGTATTTATTGAAAGTGTGAAATGAGAATAATTAGAAGAACATGGATATTTTTGTTCAAATAGCTTATTATGTGAGACATGATCGGTACTAACGGGTACTTCTAAGAAGTAGTGAAGAAGTACCAAACAGCCTGCCCGGCTACGATCGTCAGCTGTCCTTTGGAGCTGGACTTCAACGCTGTAAAACAAAATATGTGCTGAATTAATTTTTAGTTTCACCAAAATATAAGCAATTTATCATTTCTTTTTCACTTTTGTAATTATTGTTGAGTGAAGAGACATGTTGCTAGTTCTGACAATATAAATTATTAATTAAAAAACCGAAATGCGACGGTAAGTATCTGCTACTAAATTGTCACTGTAACCAAATACATGGAGAATCTTGCTACCATTGCTTATAAAACGTGCTTATCAATACACAAATGTTTTATTTCAGACAAGAAGGATTTATTTGCCTGAAGTCTTGCGTCATGTGCTACTGCTTTGATTACAAAGACGCTCTCCGGGTCGGGGTAATTTAGTTCTTCATCGATCGATAAGAGATTTTGATTCCATTGATATCCAAATTGATAAGCTCGGCACCATGGAGTAAGGGCGTCCCCACAGGGGTGACGCAGGAAATATGAATGGCGTTTACACTGACAGTAGTTTCCCACAGCCGGCAATGGGAATCTCCTGTCGGTGTAAACGCCACTGTAGTCCCATCCAACTCAAACACTGGGGAATATCCCCGCACTTTTGAGGACGGAAATCTATGGACCTGCTCGAAAAATAGTGAATAAAATACGGCGAGCTTTCAGTTTTATGGTTGGGTCTCCCTTCCGAGGCACATATTTACGGGGGATATTGGGTCATATTCCCCCGGCGTCCTGATGATCGGCGCCCAGCTCAACGTCGAAGGCGCCCTGATACGCGGCACTGCTATCTGTGAAGGTGCCCAGGTTGCTGCCGCTCGAATTTTGGTCGCCTACTTAACAAAACCTCCGTTGGTGCCAGGTGCCATCTCAGTTTCCTCGAGGTCAGGCAACCTTCACACGCCGTTGGCTACCTTGGCTGGCCGGCGACTCGTTCCCCTCGTGGCGACGCTCTTGACATCCAGTCAAAAGTTGGAGTGGCTGGCGCCCCCAGTGGGGGCCGGGGAAGGGGCAGTGGGCCTCCACGTTGCTCTCTTCCCGAGCCTATGGTGACTTGGCTCATCTCTCCTCAATAGAATCTGGATTCTGCACGCTGTATTAACATGGGCGTAGACACCACCACACACCACTACGGACAATACGGACAGTGGGTGTGACAATCAGTAGTGCCATTTATATAGAGGGTGTCATATATGAGCGGAGAGGCAACAGTACAGCTGAGCGGAGAGACAACATTAAAACAACAGTACAGCTGGCGTTGCATGGAGCTGCAGGCAACCGGACAGCGGAGGCTTGCGAAAAATAAACAATTCGTCACTTCAACGTATAAACAATAGTATAAAAAGCAACATAAACACATATTCTCATGGTCGAACCCATGCACTAGCGGCTCACGGCGGGCACAGGCACGCAGTGCGGTAGCGGTACCGGATCACACGTCATGGGCGTTGTCTCAGCATAGGTTGTTATGAGCGGAGAGGCAACAGTACAGCTGAGCGGAGAGACAACATTAAAACAACAGTACAGCTGGCGTTGCATGGAGCTGCAGGCAACCGGACAGCGGAGGCTTGCGAAAAATAAGCAATTCGTCACTTCAACGTACAAACAATAGTAAAAGCAACATAAACACATATTCTCATGGTCGAACCCATGCACTAGCGGCTCACGGCGGGCACAGGCACGCAGTGCGGTAGCGGTACCGGATCACACGTCATGGGCGTTGTCTCAGCATAGGTTGTTCGCAATCTAGTTGAAGCCTAAGAAGACGGCCAGTGGGGTCTCACTGCTGCTGAGGCGACCTCGGAGACGATGCGTCGCCCCTCCTGTCGGCGACCTGCGGTGAGCAGGACTCCAGATAGCTGTCTGGCACGTTGCCGACACTGCCAGACGCTGTCAGCAGGCCTCACTGCTGCAAGTGATGTGCAGATGGACGCCAGGTGACTTCGTCTGCAGGCGATTCCGGAGACCGCGGCCTCACCAGGCAGTACCACCTGCATCGCCATGTCGGTGTTTCTAGAAATGGAAAAATAACAGCATCGGTGAAGGACAAGCAATACAATGTATTCTGTTTTCCTCTCTTGCAGGTATACGTAATCTACAATTATCATTGTTCCTATTTCATTCAACTGAACCTGAAAATTCCATATTGGCACATTGTTTGACTAAATTTGGGTAGTTGGGAACAGGGGCGACGCCACGGTGCGACGACTGGGGGGGACATTGACCATTTTGGAGGGGACGAGGACCATTTCAAGTCGATTCTTTCCATGCAACGCCATAGGCGTAATGTTAAAATTTTAAAAAGTGGAGAGGCCGAGATCCCCTCCGCCCCCCCCCTGTTGCGACGCCCTTGGTTGGGAAGAAGATTGTTTGAAATACATGTTTGGTTGAACAGTGCGGAAAATATTTCATTGATCACTATAGCTGCAACAAAAATACTGAGACAGAAAACATTTGCGCTTACCTGGCTCCTTAGTCAGTCCCGCACAATGGAAGTGGTACCATTTATCGCAGCCGTCGCATCCGACCATCGGTGCTGCACTGATGCTGCTGCACTCCCCACATTCCCTGTACCTTAGGAGCGTCTTGGCTGTGAAAAGATTACATGAGTCATGGCGCATACATGAATAGTAAGATGTTTTATATGTTTAACATCGCATAGCAAAGACACAACAGCTGGGAGTCAAGTGTAAGCCAAAGTGTAAGCCCTGCCATGTTTTGCAGACTGGATTTTAAACAAGAAAAGCTTTGCTAAAAATGACGCTTGACGAAGCCTTATCCTACTGGGCTGTCTGACATGTCTCCCTGTAAAAAGCATGTGGCCCTTATATTGTATATATGATGAATATGTTAATAATGCAGAGAAAACACAGTATAAATTATACCCTACGTTTCATCTTAATCGACTTTGTCAAGGGTGTTTGAACAGCTTGAGATGAGTGAAGTGTAAGGGCTAAGGGTACCTAGGTACATCTGAAAATAAACTGAATCTGCATTCAATAAACATTGATTTTGATAATACATTTCACAAATCAACTGCTAATAACAATCATACTAAAATAGCACGACAGATAACTAACAATCGCATGAAGAACTTCTTGATTCGCCTTGACATTCGTCGTCCGAACGAATGTTGTCTTAAGTTACACATTTGTCTTTTCTGCGCAGCATTTGTGTTTGCCATTTACCGCACCAATGTTCGCCAGCGGTGGTGACTTTTCCTTACCTGGGGGCTGTTCGGCTGCGCAGCCAAAATGAAATATGCTGCAGCACGCATGCGCAGTGAGGACTTCGTCGCCCGTTAGTCCCGCCCACACCACTGCGTCACCGGCTGTGTGACGTCACCTACTGAAGCATGCTTCGTTTTCCTGCAGCACGAAATTCGGTGCTGCAGGAGGCGAAAGTGGCGCGGATTAAAGTTTACCGTCCGATATTTCTTATTGTAAGCGGTTTGTATGTTGGTTTTTGGGTATCATTATCACTCTTTTCGGTGGCACATTGCTATTAACCACATTTGAACGCAATTTAAACGTTATTTGAGCGACAATCACCAGTCCACCCGCGCAACGGTTCGCCGCGTTTGAAATAGGCTGCAGCGACGCTCGGCCGCGGCGTGCCGGCGGAGAGTGGGCGGAGCCAGGCGGTTGACGTCACCCAAGTATGACGCACGCAGCACAGATCTATGCTGCAGGGACCCGAACAGCCCTCCGCTCACGAAACGTCACACAGGACATGACGTCACCCGAAGACGTCATCAAAAAGTCCAGCTCTTAGGCGTGTCCGAATTAGGTGGTGGTGTCGGTCAAGGCTATAGAACTCCGTGTCGGTGTTTTCGGTTATTTGGTATAGTGTCTTTGATGGTAGTAGATGGCTTTTGTGGATCTTTGATTGCAATTTTTTCAATGGCTTGAATGAATAATTGATTGCCAGTCAATATTGAGATGGATCAGCAAGGTGAGTTATGATCTTTTCATAAATAGGTATTATGAGGTAGACACCTGTGTCGGGGCCCTTTTTGAGGCACTACCCTGTCGTAACATTGTATTTTTTTGCGAAAACATCAGCCTCGGGCAATCAGTTCCAGCCCTAATGAGCTTGACTCAGCCCAACTGAGTTTGCCCAACTTGTTTGGGCTTTGAGTTGTCTCAAACATTGGAAGGGACAGTTCTTAGTTCAAGTTCAGTGCTGAGCTATGAAACAGTAGGTACCTACCTACTGCAGACTGGGACTTGGTATGACTTTTGATGTTTATGGTACATTATCTTCTATATCACTTGAGTATTCACTCTGGAAACTGTTTCACCATATCAATTAGACAATTCTCTATCTAACTGAATCCCTACAGTAAATGTCAAAGATTCTGCTTGACAAGAACTTGCACATTTCACAGCCAGGTGAAAGAACATTGAAACCCTGAGGCCGTGACACCAAAATTCACACTGGGCAAGAACTCGCACACCTCAGTCATAAGCGGCTGGGGGTAACCTGCTTTCACCTCTGGTTTAAGGGTTAAGGAACAGTTACGGAAGTCCTCCACCACAGCCTCCTTGTCCTTCATGACTCTCCGGATGAGTGGCTGTGAGGATCTGCGTAAGGAGCTGTATTAGGATGGCCAGGTGTTGACAGGTGGCAGGATAAACCATTTTTGTGGGATCAATAATCCATCGTCTTATGCAGATTGTTTTTTATGAATGATTTCTCAGTTTGTTGAGTTCAAAAGTGATGTCAATGACAGTAAAAAGTGTTTTTAACATGAACATGACTGCTTAAACAAGGAGCACAGGGTCTGAACATGATGCAACAACGACAGTGCAGTGCTGATATATATGTCCCAGACTGGTGATATGGTCATAGTCACCCTGACCTGTTCAAAGTCATCCCTACTATCTTTGTCACCCTGATTTAAGGTACCATCTTTGCACCATACAAAATATTTGTTTTGCCCTAAAACAAAAAACAAAAAATCTTCATTTTTGATCTTAAAACTGCAATGAATATGAAGGAAGTGTCATTAATCACTACACCTTTTTAGGCGCAATTTCAAAAATTTAAAGACCAAATTCAAAAAGTTCACATTCAAAATGCACGTGAACGTTTTGAATTTGGTCTTTAACTTTTTGAAATTGCGCCTAAAATGCTGTAGACCAGTTATTCTTAGATATCACAAGCCTATATCAATTTCATGGATGCTTATTCACTACAAAATCAGCTTTGTGCAGTATAATGTTTTGGATGCACTGATCCATGTAAAAGCTGGAAAACATGGTGCTAAATCTGCATCTGACTGCTCTGTGCCTTTGCGCTTATCAGAGCTTGTCATAGCTGCAGGTTTGTACCTACTGAGCTAGGGGTGCCCAAACTCCCAATTTTTTAAAAATAAATTTAGCTGTTGTCAGGTCTCCCTCCAGCCCTAGGGCGTAGCCAGTCGGCTCTGGAGGGAGAGGAAGGAGGCCCCCAGGGTCGCCAACGCGTCGTTGCTGCGCAGGTCCTTATGGGTCGGGTGGATCGTTCCGAACACACGAAATCGGCAGTTCATCAGGGCGGGGCACCGCATCAGCACGTGTGCCGGGGTATCCGCCTCTTCGCGGCAGAGCTCGCACCGGGCCGCGGGGCACCTTTTGTTTTCGCACCCGGCGCAGGCATTGGAGGGTTTCTTGCCGATTCGGTGTAGATATTGTGAGGACCTGGACCAATGTCCGGCACGCAGCTGATGGACGTCCACAGCGCTCGATCGGTCACCCCCGGGGATCGGCGGGGGGAGACGAGGGCCGTGCAGCTGTCGGTACCAGCCGTCGGGCCAGGCTGCTATGGTCCTCGCGCGCCAGCCTCGTCAGGGCCCATGGAGGCTCTCGTGGAGGGAGTATCAGCTCGACGGGGGGAGCGACCTCCATCGCCGCCAGGACTTCTCCTCCCACTTGGCGCCATCCGGTTGTCGCTAGTCTTGTGGGGGGGGGGGGGGGGTCGTTGGATGCCACCGCACGGAGCGGTTTTCCCTCTGGCAGGGCGTGGACCTTCGTCAGGAGCCGCGCCGCCAGGACTAGGCGGCGCTCCGCCACCGGGGGGAGGCCGGCCTCTGCCATGACGACGTGGGAGGGTGTCGAGATCGGGCACCCAGTGATCACCCGCGCCGCTGCACGCATCTCCCTCTCCAGGAGGGCTGCATGTGTAGCACGCTACATCTTGAACATTTAACGTAGTATCTTTTCGGCACGGCTCGGTCCGGCAGTCCCTCTCCCTCGCAGTCATGCCACACGCCTAGCCTCGCTTTCCCACACCCAATCCCCCCCCCCCAGTTCCCTTAATCTATCACTGTCCGCACAGAATGGGCAGCCGTTAAACTCCCATTAAAGGAAATAGTTCACTTTTTAACATGGGTTTTGAACTGGAATAGCAGTTCCGTAGCCTGGGCTGAGACGAGCATAAATCAGGAGCTTTTACAGCCCAACGATCACCCTAGGCAAATATATTCTATTTCTCGTCCCGAAAAATGTGTCTTGCGTTGAGGATGTGTGCCTTGCATATATTCGCATCCAGTATGAAACGAGCATGGGTACCGAAAATTCTTCATAAACTAGAGAAATTATCTACGAGAACTCTAGAGAAATTCTCGTACTGATCAATAAGGACATTCAGCAGCAGCAGATCGCCCAAATGCCGGTGGCCGCGATCATTTCTCTAGTTTCTGAAGAATTTTCGGGACCCATGCTCTTTTCATACTGGATCGCCTGTGCCTTACAGAAACTGAAAAGTTCTTCTTATTATCAAAATATAGAAAATAATCTTTTGTTATAAATAGGTTTTATTTTCTTTGCTGATCATTTTGAACATAAAAAATCATAAATCCATTGCAAAAAAAATAATTTCGTGAAAGTGAACTATTTCCTTTAAGACGCGCCACTGTAGGCCGGCAGCCTGAAAAAGCGCTAGAAATTCCCCCAAACTGACTGTCCGCAATATGAACAAAATAGGTATCATTTAATCCCAAATTGATCGAAGAATACGATTCCGATGCTAGTTTTGCCCTAAGGTCAAAATTGAGGTCGTCAGTTGTCACCAAACACAAGACAATTTAGACTCGCTATAGGCCACCACATTTACCGATTTTAATGATGAACTTAAGTGGTAATTCATTAGTTGACCAATCGTCGTTTTGAACGAAATTTCCTGTCAGACTAGTTCAGGGCACTGTTGTTCACTGTGCCAACATCATTCTGACATATTGCATCGCTTTTCTGCAAGATAAGCTAGCTGTTTGCAAGCAGCTGCAAGACGTAATTTAAAATCATATCCAATTTTTTAATTAGACTTTTATAAAAATGTTATTTCGAGCGGCTAAAAATGAACATTTCATACTAGCCTCTGATTACTCATCTTTTGTTTCATATAGGTGCTTTGCTGCTTTTCCCTGCTACTTTTCGAGATATGCGCCAGTAAACCACATGATGTAGGGGCAATTGTCACCTCGCCGCTCTACTGAAGGCCCGGCGCTCTTTAAAACGCTGGAAGTTGTGAAAACCAAACGCTGATAATCTAAATGAAATATATGTCCCTGAGCTCAGAATTGATCAACGCTCACAATGCTTTCAACATTTCTGGGCCAAACTAAAAAAATCAGTCATTATTAACCCCTAAACACAAGTCAGTGATAATCAACAACAACTTGCTCTTTAGTTAGACTTTTTGAGAAATGTTATTTCGAGCCGTTAAAAATGGCCATGCCATACAAACCACCAATCATCTTTCTGTCATGCCCTACTCGCAATTTTTGCTAATGCCTGCTACTCTTCGAGGTCACGTGACCTCACCATTAAAAGTGAATGGGGAAATAAGGAAACTGTTTTTTTTTTTTGCGCATGGAATGATTTCAAACTATCTCAAGCACACGGAATCGTGATTTCGTGCACTCCTTGCAAGATCCGATGCTTTACTTTTGCATTTTTGACCTTCCGTGACGTCATTTACGCCGGTCATAGGAGTTTCTCGTCAATAACTCATGATCAAATTGAGCCAGCGACTCGGGAAAGCCACCAATGGACTCGGGAAGACCTCCTGAATCGAATGATATGCGATACGACCTCCTTCGATTAAGTTCGTGGCCTGATGGGCTCTGAACTGACCTTGACTCGAGGTCAATACCTTAAGTTGACCTCACCCGAACAAAAAGTATACCATTCGACGCGCCTGAGCCAGGCGAACACGATGGTGCCAAAATCGCTGCTCTGCGGCCATTTTTTGCGAAATTATTTGCCAAAAACCAAACCCTACCTTGGGCTTTTTGACTTCACCTCAGAGGTTACCGGTTGACCTGGGACCTTAAAATCGGGTATCAATCGTTCCGCCTTGAAACGGCGCACACGCTTGTTTTTTTCCGCGAGGCTCTAGCTCCATTAGGGGCGAAACGGCAAAAAGGGGTCGTTCCAACCCTCCCCCCTCGGCCGGCCGAGGGGGTGGGGGGTCCGACAATAGGTCCGGCGAGGGTTAAGCAGCCCCACTTCGTTTTTAGCATGTTTGCTTGTTACTGAGATCAACAACTCAATCACAAATAATTTCTAGCAATTTTCCGGACCCCCGGCCCAGTGTGCGCGCGCTTTTGGAGACAGCTACCGCAGGATGAACGATTCGAATCCCAACAAGTAACAGCTGGATCAGTAACACTGTCAACAGCTCGTGGACCCACGCCGAGGACGGATAACGGCTGGGAGCGCTGGATCAGCAAGATACGTCATCAGATCATGGAGCAGTGTAAAGGATGGATGCCGGCTGGAGCACATAGCCTCCTTTGTCGGGGTACAACAACCCAGGGTGAGTGACCCGGCAGAACGCCTTGAAGGTGACCTGCACAGCAGCAGCAAGCAATGACCTGTAGTTCCAGATTTCGCCACTGAATAGAAGAGGCAGCACGCTACGGCCACACCCCGCAACCACAAGGCCTGGCGGGAAAGGTCAGCAGCGAA